GCCACAGCATGGCTTGACAAGCCGTGCATCGGTCCGTGCCTGGTATCTGAACTCATGAACCCCGGGCCACCAAAGCGGAGTGCGCGAACCTAACTGCTGTACCACTGGGCCAGCCCCAAATTCTGTCTGGTTTTAACCTGTAATTTTTGCGTATGTTTTTGATCCTTATGTTTTTAATATGTTGCCTGTTTATATATCTTCTCCCCACTTTTCTCATTGGGTATTTAAATATTTTAATCAATTTTTGTATTTTAATCAATTTTTGTGTGTTCTTTACATGTTAAAGATATTAATCCTTGTCATATGTTATAGTTTCCTTAAATTATCTTTTGACTAATTTTGTGCTTCTTAATAGCCACTGTCATTGGCTTCATTCCCAAATTCTGCCCCAGCCTCTCTCTCTCTCTACACGTCTCTCTCCCTATCTTGACATTCTCATAGTTTTCCCTTCCCTCTAGATCCTTCCACCTCATTTTCTTTCATCTTCTTCTCTTTCTTTCATCTGGTTCCTTTATCCCTAATTTCTATTCTAAACAGGGAATCGATCAGTCCATTCTGCTTTGCAGTGATTCTCACTGGGCGTAAAGGAGAGTCCATGTCCAAATCGATGGGAGAGATGGGTTTTTAAGCTTCCTGTTCCACAGACTCTTGAGAATCACAGCCACAGTTACTGTTAGGTGTGTGTGGAGTCTCTCAGCTGAGCGGAGGCAGAAAAAGTTGAGAACTGCTGGCTGGAAGGTTTTACAAGGCATGGAAATGCCACTCACATTTCTCTTCTCTTTGTTTCTGTGATTAAACCCTCATAGAGACCCTGTGACCTCAGGGCCCATTTCCAAGGAACTTCTTCTATTTATGTATGCTTGGCACATCTGCAAATTCCTTTCTAAATTGATTGCTGAATGTACTGAAGGCACATGCTTGACCAGGTCTAGAGGACTGGCATCTTTTTTAAAGCCTGATCAATATGAAAGGCTGCTATTTTTGTATAATGCCTCAGGGTCAAGTCCAAATTACATTTGCACATCACGAGAGCTTTCAAAGCTAATGCAGATGCCAGGGGCCTCTGGGGAGAGGTGACCACTCTGCTTTGTAGATTTATGGTAATATATCTCTGACCCAGGAAAGGAGGAAAGGGTACCTCTTGCATTCTAGGGAGCACGCTAGACTGCTCACCACTGACGAGCAGCATCTTCAGGCTGAGAGACTTCTGGCTTCATTCTTTTCATCCCAAACACAATTTATTTATCAATTTTTAAACTCACAAAGCATGAAATATTTGTTTACATTCTGAGTTATTTTACAATGTATTAAATTAAAACTGTAGATTATCATTTTGAATGGATTTGATTTATATTAATTCAGTGAAATCACAGTTGAATGTTTGTAAAAAGAATTTGCAATGTTTATATAATAACGTTATTAATATAGATATTAACATAAAAATTACACATTTAAAAGGAAAAATAAGCAAAGATGTTGAGACAATCATAGTTGCTGTGACTGAGCTTGAGAATTAGATCTCAGCTTCTCAAAACCAAGGTAAAAAGATAAAGAATAACATCATTCTCACTTGGTAAGAGGAAACATGCTAAGCATTCACAGAAGGGAAGTATTTTTTTCCCTTTGAACTAAATTTAAAAGGAAAAATATCATGTGGAACTTATACATTCCACTTAGGGTAACCTAGAGGTAACCTTTCCAATATAAATTCATTGCAGACACAGAAGCATTTTTCTCATGTTTATGTCTTACAATAAATCCTCAGTATAAGCCAGAGGTGTAAGGTTTCAATATAATTCTGTGAAAGTGTTTTCAGGGTAGCTTCAGTGAAAGTAGTTTCAGAGTGGTTCAGGGATCTAGCTTTCTGGCATTTTAAAGCATAATGCAAGGCTCTATCTATTTCATACTTAAACTATGCAAAGGCCAGTGTGTCTCTTAGATTATATTCTTTGACTGTTAGTTGTCTCAGCTGGACTTTGTGAAAGAGCCGTGTAGGAGTTTGGATGGAAATAGCAAAAGATGAAATTTTCTCTCTAAGATGCTGACTCCGGGTAAAGACCCACATACCTTTCATGTCTTTGATGAGGCAAAAAAATGTTTTTAATACTTTATGATTCATGTTCTTTGGTTAAATCAAAACAGTTGTTCAAAGAAACTACTATTCATTCAGCTGCAGGTACCTACTGATTGTTAGAAAAAAGTATTTATGTGTATGTGTATTTATATTTCTATTGAATCATTTAAGAATTGCCTGGTTAACTGAGCATCCTTTTCTCTGGTCTTTTGCTTCAAACTCCATTATTCCTTTAGCTTACAGTGACATCATAAGCATCAGTGATCTGAGGTAGCCAAGTTGCCTTGATTTTTTTTTAGAGCGGTTTTATGTTCATAACAAAATTGAGGAGCAGGTACAAAGATTTCCCATATATGCCCTGCCCCCACACATGCATAGCCTCCCCTATTATCAACATCCCCCACCAGAGCAGTACATTTGTTACAATTGGTGAACCTACATTGACACATCATAATCACCCAAAGTCCGTAGTTTATATTAGGGTTGTACGTTCAGTGGGCTTGATTTTTGATGATTCACCCACCATCATGATAGGTGGCATGGAAACTGAAAGGTAGATTTTTTTTTTTTAAGTATTATTTTTAAAAAGTATGTCAAATGGAACTTTAAAAAAATAAGACCAAACCTATCTTATTCCAGATGGTAAAGTGAAATGATCAGACCTGATCTATTTTGGTTAGTTCTGTTTACGATGAAACCTCTACAAAACGGCTGATGATAAAAGAAGAAACCTGATAAAAGGGGCCAGCCCCGTGGCTTAGCGGTTAAGTGCACGTGCTCCACTACTGGCGGCCCGGGTTCGGATCCCGGGCGCGTACCGATGCACTGCTTCTCCTGCCATGCTGGGGCTGCGTCCCACATACAACAACTAGAAGGATGTGCAACTATGACATACAACTATCTACTGGGGCTTTGGGGGGAAAAAAAAAAAGGAGGAGGATTGGCAATAGATGTTAGCTCAGAGCTGGTCTTCCTCAGCAAAAAGAGGAGGATTAGCATGGATGTTAGCTCAGGGCTGATCTTCCTCACAAAAAAAAAAAAAAGAAACCGTATAAAAAAGCAGATTTACTGACATTTAAAAAGGCTTCTCTACTTTGTCTTTTAAAAAATCATAGAATAAATAGAACTTGAATCTTATACATGTGGTCAAAATGCAAATGAGGACTACAGGGTGAACTCCAGCAGCACACCTGACCTCCATCCTGGTGCTAAGGTTGGGTTTGCTCAGGGTAAGAAGAGGCACAGAAGCCTTCCGTGGGACACAGTTCAGTCCATAGCAGATGCCATAACAACAAAAAGTTGATAGAATCTCTGTTGACCAAGAAAAAAGGCAGGAAGTAAGCCTGAGGGATCTTGTCAGTGATTGATAACCATGTAGCTCTTGAACGGTGAGAGGCATCGTTACCCATCTGGACAAGTGGGTTCTTCTGTAGATTAAACAGGTTTTGGAGGTCCTTTCTAACCCTAAAATTCAAATTTTTGTGTAATAATTCACTTTGGGTAATCAATTCCAAATGCCCATGATGTTTTTCTTTCGTTACCCATTCTTTGTACACCCAGGGTGCCTCAAGGAAGGTATAGTGGAGGAATCTGGCTGACCTGGGTTTGAAGCCTAGCTTTTCTACTTAGCAGCAGAGTAGTCTTCAATTAATTATGGTATCTCTTTGAGATTGCTTATTTGTCTACAAAATAATTAATGATACTTATCTTGATGATTATATTATTGAGAATACAGGGAATACAGGGTATGTAATTTATACATATTAGTTAAAAAAAGACATCACAGTAGTTTAGGTATGAGAGAAATGATAGGAATTTATCTATCTCACACATATAATCCAGAGGTAAGCAGGCTAGGGCTAGTAGGAGGCCTCTGACACCAACCCCAACAGAAACTTTGATCTTAGGGTCAAAGGTGACTGCTCCAGTTTTCATTATTTCCCTCTGATGGGAATGGAGAAAGGGTGAGAGGAACTCATTCATAATAACTTTTAGGGACACCCTCCCAAAGTGGCAGACGTAAATTCTGCTCACATCCCTTCCACCAGAGTTTAGATGTGTGGTTATATCAAACAGGGAGGTTGGTTGAAAAGCATTGTCTCTAGCTAAATATGGTTTTACTAGCAATTTCTGCTGCAAATGGTTATTATAAAGATTAGAAATAATGCATTAATTCACATTCATCTAACATTGAATTGTGGAATATTGTAACAAAGGGCTTGGCAAGGTGCCTTACACATGGTTAATACCAAGAAGATGGGATCACTCTCCTTACTTTCCCCTAGCACCTTACTACTCAAAGTATGGTCCAAGGTCCAATAGCATCAGCGTCAGCATCACCTGGAAGCTTGTTAAAAATGTAGAACCTCAGCCCTAAGCTAGATCTGTTGAATGAGAACCTGCATTTCAACAATTTGGGAAGCTCTGCGCCAGCATGTTGTCTTTTATGACATGGGCTGGTTCTCTTAGCTTGAGCGCTTACAACGTTGCTGTGAGAATTAAAAGAGATAATATGCATAAAATACTTTAAAATCTGTAAAGTGCTTCATAACGTATTTAAGTGTACATGCGTTATGGGGAATAATGTGAATCTTAAGTTATTGGAATGACAAGATTTGAGAATCCTTGGGATTTTAGATTTTCCAGTCTTGATAACATTCCTTGATATGGTAATGCCATGTGAAAAGGGCATATCTATTTCCAGAAAATGTGCTTGAATCGCCATGCGCTATCCTAGGGACAGAAGTTTTTTTTTTAATTTAGCAAGATGCTAGGCCCACTCTTCTAAACTGAGTGTTTTCAGTGATTTTTTTCATCACCATTGTTCTTTTTTTGATATCTAAATATTTCAACTTATGTTCTTAATTATATTACTGTCTTTTAATTTGTGTGATAGAATACAGATTTTGATCAAATGAATGCGGAAATGATTCTGAAAAAGGTACCTCAAAAAATGGAAAAACTGATAAATGAAATTGATTTTAAAAAGATAGCTTTATAGTATCAATTCAAATTAAAGAAGTTGTACCTGATGTATTCAATTATAAGCAGCTCATCTAGATTCATATGCCAGTGTTGAGCAATAAAAAATTAGGAGAATCACCTTCTCTTAGGCTTAAGTTTTCTAATCTGTAAATTGTTCTATCTATCTCATAAGATTGGGGTGGGGGGGAGGGCATACCATGAGATCCTAGAAAAATGTAGTATGCATATAGAAGGTGATATTAATATCTAATGTTGTCAGAGTGAGAGGTATATGTGAACATGCACTCTATGTGAAAGAACTTATTATTAAAATGTTTGGCACATAAGCTTGCGGGCTGGGCTAGGGCCCTGTAACTCCATCAAATTCGTGATGTCCAGGCCTTTTTTCCTGCTTCAAGTGGGCAGGCGACCACTGAGAGACAAAAACTCATCCACTGTTTCTGCAGGTCAGTCAGGTATCAGCATGTAACAGAAGAAAGTCTAGGTGCTGTACATCTGATGCACGCAGGGAAAAGCTGGGTGTTAGAAGAAAACCAGTGAGCCAAGGAACTCACAGAGGAAGGAAAGCTCTAAATGATGGATTTTTCTGGGTCGCTGGGAGTCATACCTTTTGCTCTGCTGCCTGTGACTGAAATGGATGGCCGCAGTGGAAGAGATTCCCACTGCATCTTTAGAGGCAAGCACACACGTGCCCTGTGCACTTGGGACTGATAAATTCAGAAAAGTACTACAAGATTTGTCATAGACCTTGTATTTAATTCTGTATTCCTTTTCATTAGCGTTCAGTAAAGGAATGCTGACCTGTCAACTTGGGTGTAGATGCTGGGGGGATAAACATGAGTAAGACATACCTTTCCCTTGGGTACTTTCAACTAATTGTGGAGATAGTAAACAACTTTATCAGAGAGAGAGGTGATAACTAACGTTCATACTGTACTTTAAAATAGATTTTGGTGTGTCATGCCCACATTTAAAAATTATGCATATATGTGTATGTTTAAAAATAAATCTATCGGGTCGGCCCCGTGGCTTAGCGGTTAAATGCACGCGCTCTGCTACTGGTGGCCCGGGTTCGGACCCCGGGCGCACACCGAACCACCGCTTCTCCAGCCATGCTGAGGCTACATCCCACATACAGCAACTAGAAGGATGTGCAGCTATGACATACAACTATCTACTGGGGCTTTGGGGGCAAAAAAAAAAAGGAGGAGGATTGGCAATAGATGTTAGCTCAGAGCCAGTCTTCCTCAGCAAAAAGATGAGGATTAGCATGCATGTTAGCTCAGGGCTGATCTTCCTCACCAAAAATAAATAAATAAATAAAAATAAAATGAATCTATCTATATCTGTATTTATATCTATATTACATAGAAAAAAAGACCAAAAATGAGCTGTACATTAAAATGTTAATAGTGATGAGAATTCAAATTATTTTTCATTTTTATTATTTTCTATATTTTTTATAATTTCCTCAATGGACACATGTTTATGTAACTATAAGACAACAACATATTAACCTTTTGAAGCCTCTAAACTATTTTTATATATGCTATCTCATTTGATCCTCACATCACCCTGTGAGGTAGATCGGTAATGAACATCGATGTTATGGATGAGATAGATGGAGGAGACACACGACTCAGGCACCCAGGAAGTTAAGTGCAGAGAGATTATGTGATATGTACAGTGTTGAACAGGTGGCAAATGGCGAAACCAAGAAAGAGGAAGGCAAATCAGTAGTGCTTGAATGAAAGGAGAATGTAAAGATCCCTAAACACTTTTAGGTTTAGGGCATGGAATGGCTTTTTACTTCAGTCTGGCTCCCTAAACAGAGGCCTGGTTTAGTTTTTATCAGACTCAGAGGCAGGGTGCACAGTGGTTTTGTTTGGGTTTGAGTCCAGACAGTCTGAATTTGATTACCACCTCTGGCAATGCCTACCTGTTTAACCTGGGCAGTTATTTATGGGCTTGGGGCCTCAGAATATCTATTTATAAAATGAGGCAAATACTACTAGCTACTGTAAGGATAAAATGAGTTCATATTAAGGGCCTTTAAAAGTGTATTGGGCAGTCTAAAGATAAACAACTTTTTCATTGGTTAAATAATCATGGAGATCATGGAGAAAAACACTAAAAAAAACTGTATAGCTATAAGGAGAACTCAACAAATATTAGCTAATAACGTCATCATCATTATCATCCTCCTCATCCTCATCAGTGCAGGGCTGATGAGGATGGTGACAGGTGAGAGGATATCTGTATGGCTTTCAGGGAGACAACTACATTGTCCTACTTCAGACGGCAGCAACTGTTGATCTTATAGGGTCTGGGATAAGATAAGGAGGTTAGGTCAGTACAAATATATCTAACATGAATCTTTCAATGACAATATTATTATTTTGAGATACACAAACAAACACACAGATTGGATTAATGATAGATTGTTTCTTAATAATAAGAACCATACTGGGGGCCGGCCCCGTGCCATAGTGGTTAAGTGCGTGCGCTCCCCTGCTGGCGGCCCGGATTCGGATCTCGGGCGCGCACCGATACGGATGCACCGCTTGTCAGGCCATGCTGTGGTGGCGTCCCATATAAAGTGGAGGAAGATGGGCACAGATGTTAGCCCAGGGCCAGTCTTCCTCAGCAAAAAAAAAGAGGAGGATTGGCATGGATGTTAGCTCAGGACTGATCTTCCTCACACACACAAAAAGAGAGCCATACAGATGTATATCAAATGTATATAGATGTATACCACAAAGAGCTGAGAGCTGTATATCAGGGATGCAAAAGAATTATAAAGTTAATACAAAAATATGGGAAAGTTTGTGCTGGTATTATTGGATTGTTTAATAGGCTGTTTAAATCTGTACCAACCCCTCCCTGCTTATTATAAATGTTTTGAATCTGTGTGTACACTTAGATATTCTATCTGATTTTACAATGTTGTAAGGCAAGTGATTGCTGTCAAGTTAAGAATGATTTGTCTTTAAAAGACCTTGGCCATGAGTGGTTGGGGTAGAGTGTGCTATGAGGCTTAATTCCCTCAGGCCTGGAATTAGTCTGAGCCGTCCCACTGAAATAAGTATACCTGTCTGTTACTGACCTTTGGTCAAGGCATGAAACAATTGATTAACATGTTGCTTGGTAAACATTGGGTTGGAGGAGTTTCAGGGTAGTTCCTACCAACTGTAAGCATTGTTTATTGGTGATAGTGAGACTGATGATTTGCATCTGGTCTTGGTGAGACCTCTGGAGGGCTCTGCTGTTGAGGCCAGTTACACTGCAGGAATGTGTTTATGTGACCAGCAAAATATAAAAAACACCAGCCAGAGCCAGACTTCATCCCAGAAATAGCCTGAAATACTACCAGTTGAGTTGAGAAGATTACTCAGCGAGAATGTATGATGGAAAACTAATTGCTTTCATATGCGTTCCTAATTGTTTTAAGTCCTTCAGTTCTCACACAGGTATATTATTGAAATCCCCAAATATTGGGGGGCGAGAACTTGTCATAAACATCTTTTGTCTTGCTTCTTTTCCGAAACATGTAAAATATGTTTCTTTGTCATTTTTTCAGACCCCCTGGTTGTGGAACACAAGGCACTGCTGGTACAACTATCCCTACCAGGTAAGGAGACGTTGCCATCTGAGTTTTCACACATGTGGGGTACCTTCCTTAGGTCAGTTTCGTGGTTTCAGGCAGGTCCCAGCATGTTGGGTAACAACCTTGATTTTTAGCCCCCTGCCCCCACCCCTGCTGCTTGATGGTGGACGTAGCCTCGTGAGGGAAGTAGTTTGTGTTCTCAGTGAAGTTCAGAATCAAAGCTCAATTGCTTTAGCAGGTGGAGTGGAAGTGTGGAAGGTGCATTTGCTGGAGTGTAAGATATAATCAGTTCAACAGGCGGCTGATTCCTGTTTCTAACAGCCGATCTGCCTCTGATTACTGAGGAAAGCCTGAAGACCTGATCACGGCACAGGACTGCCTCAGCAGCAAGTGGGCAACGATCAAATGTGGAGCTAGAGTGGCCCTGCTGAGTTTGATTCACTTTGGGGCTTAGGAGCAGCCCCAAATATGTAAATCAGGCACCGTTTCCTTGAGCACAGAAAAATGGGCTTGTGCCATTACACATAGACTAAAAAAGCATCATTGAAAATGAGATTAAAATCGTATCCCAGAATGGGAATATTTCAGATCTCTGCCCACTGACATATCTTTGCCTCTGTCCATGAACTCAGTAATATTAGCAGATATAGTGGTCCCCAGATCAGTTACTATTTGAATATCAAATCTAGGACTTTTCTAGAAATTTCTTGCTGAAAAATTTCTAGAATTTCTAGTTCAGTTGGGATATGTTATATAAGAGAAACAAATGCAACTAGATATTTTAGTGATAAAATAGAGACATGCGTTATGATAAACAACTTGGTTTTTTAGTTTGACTGGGATTCTTTTGGGTTGTCTTTTTAGAGGCATTTGGTCTTTTGGGTGTGAATAAGGTTAGCGGGAAGCACACGTTTCGCTATTACACATGGTGATGGAGCCAGGGGGTGGAGACTGGTGTAGGATATTCCTTGGGCAAGTTCAAGGCTAGGGATACGTTGAAATGGAATTCCACTTTGCATTTCCATCTTTTTCATGTAGTTTATTCAGATTATAAAAGAGTGTAAATAAGCAACGGGACACGGTTAGAGAGAGCTGAGCATTCTGGGCTTTCTGATAGAGACTAAAGCTACATTGAAACCAATCACGTGTTGTACACAATCGTAATTCTCAGGCCCAGCTGCTGTTTCGCTATCTTAAATACTTGGAATATTGTCATTTACAGCTCTCTTTGTGTCCTGTAATCGTATACTGAGTGGAAAAATCCATATATATCTAGAATTCTATTTATAAAGGTACATCAAAGTCTTCTAGAAACCTTCACTTGAATGTTAGTGTGGCAGCTGCTCTAATGCACTGCATTTATGAGGTAAATTCTGTCACGTGAACAACACTGAGACAAATGCGATATGAAATGTAATACCCACTCTTCGTCATAGCTATAATGTAGTCTGAAATAACTTTCGCGTTTATGGCTGGAGCTGAGAAATTGCTTATTTCTGAGAAAGTTAGTTGCTAGGGCAGTGAGTGGCCCAAAATGTAGTTGCAGACTATTTCATAGACAGAGCTACAGATTCAGCATGAAAGTTTGAGGGTCTGGTATATACAGTTATGTTTAAAAATAGGAAACATCATTAATATAGAAGGAAAGATACCATATGACCATATGTGGGGATTCAGATCAAGATTGTCTCCTACTACTAAGGCATCATTGCTTATCAGTGAATAATTCAGCATATAGCTCCCAAAATCTAGGACCAATTCATGATCTCTTGTGAGAATGGTGGTCATCTTTGATAAACTCCATATTCTAATAAAAAAAATAGCTGCTTTCTTTTTGTGTGTGTGGGGAAAAAATTAAACAGAATATAATTATTATGCAGGTAATTATAGCACTTTGTGGGTAACTGTATCTACATAAATATATAGGTTGCAGTTCACAGTTGGTCTCAAGCCTTAAAGAGCTCTTTTAAAGATGGGGCATGCTCGTGAAACATGTTTATTATATCTTTAGCATATATATAAAATAAATAATTGAACTGATTTTTAGGTGAAAGAGGTAGTGGTCTACTTCAGTTTTATTAAAGACGTTACTCCTTGTGTATGAGTATGTATATTATTTATTACATATATAATTATTTTTGTATATATGTGTATATTTTAAGTTTGAAGTCATGTAAAGTTGCATTCAATTGGACCTTGTATAGCTTGTCATAAAGAGCACAGGTTGGCAATGAGAAGCCCTAGCCTGGCAATCACAGGGCCTCACCAGCCCTGAGACTGAGATCAGCCTTTCAACCTGAATTAACTGACAGCAATTTCCTGTCAAGCAGACACTCTAGAAAATGATAGTACTAATTTTATAGGATTTTTTATGAGAGTCAGAGAGGTTAGTCAAGAGGTTAACAGGTGGATAAGCTTTGTCAACTGCAAAGCACTCCATGAATACAGTAGTTATTATAATACTACATACTCTTATGAACTCTGCAGTTTCTAGATGTGCTCTCACTTGTCATCATAGCTCACTGTGGCATTTTCCCAGGTGGTGATGCAGGGAGTAAGTGAATCTCATTAAAACTGAGATTTAACCTTGGCTCCAAGGGTCCTGAAGCCGGTGCTCTGTTTTCTAGACTTCATTGCTGCCGTACATCTGACCTGAATACCCATCTCTTATGGCTAATGCCTTCAAATTTTAAAAGAACAGTTCAGTGGGAAATATATTCTCTCCAGGATGCTGCTGAACTTGATAAACACACTGATGCTCATTGTCACTCAGAGTTTAGGATTGCTAGTGGGAGAGTTATTTCATCCTCTCATGTTATTTTGTTGCCAAAGATCAGTGAGAGGGACAGCTGTTTTCCTTGACGCCCACACTTAAAGTTAGTAGAGTTGGTAGTTGAGGGCCAGCTTCTCATGAAAGTGATCTGTTATGCTGCTATTGGTTTACAAAGTATTTAAATTTCTATTGTATTTACCTATATACAATTGCCTTGTATGTAGCGGTGTGGATATGTTTGTGTGATGAGTTTCAAAGGTTTTTCATTCATTCTGGTGAAGCAAGACGTTTCATTACAACTCAATAAAACAAAAACAACCCATCGAAAATGGTTTTTCAAAACTTTTGTTTTGTTTTAATGGATTTATATACAAAATAAATATTCCTGACTTCCACTGCATCTCTGAGCCTCTCCCCATTCCTGGACCTCTGAGGCAGGTAGAGTCATCTCCATTTTACAATGTCAACTAAGGCCCAAGATTTATACCTACTAAGGTGTGGAGCTGGGACTTAATCTCAGATTTCCTGGCCAGGTGCCTAGCCTGGCATCTCTTGGCAGCTTCCTTGTCCCTCTGATGTTTTAATAAATATTTTTGAATTATCTTTTGATATTTGCAATGTACAGAACATTTCCTAATAATGAGAAAGCTCTGATTAATGCAGAACTTGAAACCATGCCTCCGTGACCCGTATAGTACTCCAGTTTCTTTCCCCTACCTCCCTTGTCCTGTGGAATCTCACAGGAGTTGTCCAGGGTTTTTGTGTATGCGTTAGAATTTTTTTTTTCAGGTTGCTTAAGGAATCTTCCAGATGCTCCTGTCAAAGAACCATAAATGCTATTGTTAAAATGCATAGCAAATTGGGTACCAAATGTTCACACTGATTGACACTTTTTTGGGTGGAGATGAAACAAAACTAATGCCATCAAACTGTGGATTAGAAGCATCCTTTAATGCCCCCTTATCCACAAAGAGAATGGGGCCAGGATTTGTGGAGGCATAAGACCATGTCCCTTTTCAGCCCTGAGCTTGAGATGTTTGGGGCACAAATTAGGTTTCCTATGAACTATTAATCTCTCCTTTTTTTCTTTGATCCTCAGCCACTCACAACTGACCTTCACTACTATTATATCCTGGAGCTGTCGTTTTATTGGTCTTTAATGTTTTCCCAGTTCACTGATATCAAAAGAAAGGTAAGAGTGGTTATGTTGTAAAGTGCTTGCCAACATGCGTCTTTAATGGCCCTTGGGAGATGGGTGTAGAGTCTCAGAGGCACTCACCTCTGTTCTCCCAGCAGCACTGGGTTAGTGCTACTTTCCACATTGTAGCAGAAAGTTCTCTGTTTTTGTTTGTACTGTTTTGTATTTCATTCCCATTGTCTCTTTATGCTTCCCTCAAAACCTAGTGGTCTTTTCTCCGTGAAAATATATAGCAATGAATCTCGAAAGCAATTTTCTCTCATTCTGATTCACAAGTCCCTCTGTTCTCCAAATTAAATAAAGAAGAAAAATTCTATTTGTCGCTCCTGGGAGAAAGTAAAATCACAATGTTCCATTCCTACAGAAGGAATTTTTCCCCAATTTAAGGGTTTTCTAGGGCTGGCCCCGTGGCTTAGCGGTTAAGTGCACACGCTCTGCTACCGGCAGCCAGGGTTCGAATCCCGGGCGTGCACTGATGCACCACTTCTCTGGCCATGCTGAGGCCGCATCCCACACACAGCAACTAGAAGGATGTGCAACTATGACATACAACTATCTACTGGGGCTTTGGGGAAAAAAAAGGAGGAGAATTGGCAATAGATGTTAGCTCAGAGCCGGTCTTCCTCAGCAAAAGAAAAAGAGGAGGATTAGCACGGATGTTAGCTCAAGGCTGATCTTCCTCACCAAAAAAAAAAGAGTTTTCTAATGTTGAAGTATATCATGAAAATACAACATTTCTAGATGAGCTGTGTTCTGGTTTTCACCCCTCTCCTCCACTGGAATAGCTTTTGCTGAGGGTGCTCTTGACCTCTAAGTGTTAAACTCACTCATTCTAGTTCTCATCGTACCAGCTTCTGGGCAGAATTGGCACTTTTGGCTATTCACTGCTTATTTTTTTCCATGACGCTATTTTCTCCAGATTTCCATATTTGGATCATTCCTTCAAAGTCATCTTTACTGGCCTCGATCCCATTGCCCCATGCTCTGCATATTTGTGAGCACCAGAGTCTGGTCCTGGATTACAGGACGCCATCTTCCTGGATGATCAAGCTTATACTCTCCCACACTGCCAACCATAACTTATGTACCAATAACTCCAAAATGTTTCTCTTCTGCCCCAGATTCTCTCCAGGTCCATACTTCCACAAATCTAGTCATGAATAATAGTATTATGTTCTTTTGTTTATTTTATCATTTAATCCTCACAACAACTCCAAGATCCGGTTGGGTCATTTATTATTTATCTTCATTTTATAAATGAGGAAACTGAACCTTACATAAAAAGTGTTCCCTCCTGGGCCGGCTCAGTGGTGTAGCGGTTAAGTTCGTGTACTCCGCTTGGGTGGCCCAGGGTTCGGATCCCAGGTGCAGACCAACACACCGCTTGTCAAGCCATGCTGTGGCAGCGTCCCATATAAAGTAGAGGAAGATGGGCACGGATGTTAGCCCAGGGCTAGTCTTCCTCAGCAAAAAGAGGAGGATTGGCATGGATGTTAGCTCGAGGCTAGTCTTCCTCACATACACACACAAAAAAACAGTGTCCCCTCCTAAAGACATCCTCTTCCCCTAGTCTTGTTCTTCCTCCGATAATCCTTGTAACCGACAGTCACGTAAGTTTTCCTTCACTCTTCTTTCCTCTTTGCCATTCCTTATACCTACTCCCTTAATATCACTGACACATTTAGTTTGAGTCCTCTCTACTTTTGTTTAATTTATTACAATAGCCTCTTAAATGGTCCTCTATCTAAATAATCATTCCCATCTACCTGCCACCTAAGAGTTCTGTTTCTGAAACCTTCAACTCAAAGCCAAACTACTTGGAGTGATATTTAGAGTTGTCAGCATGATTCAAACCCACCTCTCCAGTCTTATCACCCACCTGTTCGCTCCCCCTTCTGGCACACACATATGTCCTAGCTACAAATATTTTCTCACCGTTGTTCAAAAACATCTTTTCCATGTATCTTTGTTTTTTGCAGGACCTTGCCTGTGGCTAGAATATTCTCTGTTCCCCCTCCTCCCAGACCAGACGTAATCCAAAAGTAATCTCTTCTTTGAAGCCTTATTCAATTCCCCCAAAGTTTTTGACCACTTCTTCCTCTGTGTTTAGTTTACAAGTGCCCAGTACTTGCCATATTGTATTTTTTGTTTGTTTTGTTTCGTTTTTGCTGCGGAAGATTCACTCTGAGCTAACATCCACTGCCAGTCTTCCTTTTTTTTTTTTTGCTTGAGGAAATCTAGCCCTGAGCTAACAACTGTACCAGTCCTCCTCTATTTTGTATGTGGGTTGCTACCACAGCATGGCTGACAAGTGGTGTAGGTCTGCGCCCAGGATTAGAACCCGCAAACCTGGGCCGCCGAAGCTGAGCGCATGGAACTTTAACCACTACACCATGGGGCTGGCCCCCCATATTGTATTTTTTTAGCAGTATAGTGACTTGCCTCTCTCTCTTCACTAGACTTGAAGGGTGAAGAGCAGGATATATTCATCTTTATACCTCTCATGATTATCAATGCACCTTGCTTGTGGTAGGGATCAGTAAGTTTAGGGTGAATGAGTAAAAGGACCTATCAGAATGTCTTCTGACTTATTAGTGGATGTCTTCCAAGCTCCTTTGCAAACAGGACTGTGCATTATGATGGAACACAATACTGTAATATATCATTTCTTGGTTAGATCAGTAACCTGCTAAATAGCAAAGTGGTATCCACGTGGCAGCAGAAAAGCACTTAAGAGTCTGTGGCCCTAGTACCTGTATGCTCTTTTCCCAGGTACACTCCTTCTACTGTCCTACAGCAGTGACTTACTTGGCTGGCAAAAAGCTGTCTTTCCTGACCTGTGTGGCTGCATAGCCTTAATGTGGTATATGTCATCTGATTCTCAGAAGAAGTGGATGGTCCCTGTAAGGACTAGGGCTTCGGCATAGCAGATAACTCATTGACACCCATAATTTGTGGCTCTTTTACTCATTGCACCAAACACTCTGGGTCAATTTCTGGAAAGGTTTAGATATTCTTTGGTGATGGTATGCCAGTTTAGATCTCATCTGTCTTATATGAGGAACCTTCTTTGTTCACGTAGTCAGTACTTGTCGACCGATTGTCTCCTATGTACCAGGCACTCTGCTAAGCTCATTGTGCATTTTACTTATTTTTTAAATCTTTAGTTGTGGTAAAAATACAAAACATAAAATTTACCATCTCAACCATTTTTAAGTGTACCGTTCAGTAGTGTTACACACATTCAGATTGTTGTGCAACCAGTTTTCAGAACTCTTTGCATCTTACAAAACTGAAACTCTGTACCCATTAAACAATTCCACATTCCTTCCTCCTCCCAGCCCCTGGCAACTGCCATTCTACTTTCTGTCTCAATAAATGTGACTACTCTAGATAGCTCATATAAGTAAAACCATACCATATTTGTCCTTTTGTGATTGGCTTATTTCACTTAGCATGATGTCCTTAGGTTCATCTATGTTGTAGTGTGTGTCAGAATTTCCTTCCTTTTTAAGGCTGAATAATATGCATTTTATTTTCTTTTGAGGAACATTTTTTTTTAGGTAGTGACAGAAAACACTTGTATAATAGAGAAAGAGGTTTGAACATTTTGCCCGTTTGGTAGTTGGTAAAATTGATGTACAGTGAGTTTATGTAAGTTTTTCACGGTTGTGCAATGTGGGAATGAATTAGAGCTCAAGTTTACCAAGCAAAGTCCTGTGATTCATGTTAGATTACTCACGTCCACAATTCTTGCATTGTCTTGCCTTGCCATGCTCCTGACATTAGAGGTAGTAAGCGTTTTGCAGCTCTTTGCCATTTTATTGGCTCCTCTTTTGCTTAGTGAGAAATAGGGCTGCCATCTAGAGTCAAAGAGATTAATAAGAGCAAGACTAACTGTCCTTGGCTCCCAGGAGCCTAGTCCTAGCAAGACCTTGCTATCCCAAAAGTCACCAAGCCCCCACCACTTGCTTGAGCTTTCTCCTTGTGCATCTACCGTGTCTTTTTAGTGAGCCAAGAGGACTCATAGAGTCTTCATTGTTTTAAGCCAAGTGACCATTTTCTTAACAGTTATCATTAGTGGATTATTTTCAAGAGTTGAAATGTATCATTTTGTATGGTTTTAACATATCTTGCATCAGTGTAGAAGATGCCTATAAAAAGGGTAATTTTATGGTAAGGTTCATGGACTTGATCTCAGGCCTATACCTATTGTCAGCGTTTAGAAATTAATTATATCTTTTTCTTAGTCCACACCCATAGCTTGTTTTAGACATCTGGCACCTCTCCCTTCTTCACTTAGTCAGAGTACCTTTGCCTGTTCCTGGAGCAGCTGGTTTATTCTTGTTTCTTGCACAAAATGGGAATTTGGCCACTACCAGACATGCTTATTACTCAGCACAGGTTTTAATAAGGAAGGCCTTTTCCTCTGTTGCCATCTCTCATTAGTAAATTGTAGCCTTTGCTTTTCTGCTTCGCATCTTGCTGACTATCACTGCAGGTCCCTGGTGATTCCCTCCTCATTGCTCTACCACTCGGAGAACCTGGCGTCCCAGCCATCAGTGAGGATTTGTGGAACTTCTGGCTGCCAAATACACTCCCCACCTTCTGTATTGCAACTGTTAACTAAACCCTCTAAATTTAACAGCCTGCTTCCTAATTATGGAATAGAGATGTTTGAAGATAACCCATTGACAACATAGTGTGGAAATCAACTTCTGAAAGCTGTTTGTAGGGTCATTAATAGAAAGGTTATAAAAATGTTTCTTTGGTTCCCCTATTAAATGACAATGCTTGAACGGCCATTTTCAAATAAGGATCAGGATGGATAAACATTGGATCCGAATGCCTGCCTCATACCCTTAGAATCAGTACCTCAAATGAGGTTTAGAAATCATTTTTTGTGACTTAATAGATTCATGAGTCTTGCTAAATGGCTTTTATATTCACAAACTCTTCCCCTCTAGAAGTGTCCTAGTATTGCCATCTTTTTT